AACATGGTATAGGGTTTAGGGTCAAGGGTTTAAGCTAAGCTGTGGGCATCCCCCCGCGCCAAGTGGAACGTAGCGTCAACGGCACCACGTCGGGAGCCCGAGTGTGCGGGCCTGTGCAGCGTAACCGTGGCTCGGGTCAGGCACCCAGACCTTCCAAAATCCCTTAATTAAGGAATATACCTAAAAATATAATAGGACCCCTAATACGAATTAAGGTATATTCCTTAATTAAGGGATTTTGGAAGGTTTGGGTTCCTTGTGGTGCCACTCCGGGCTGCATCTGCTCAAAGGGGTAAAGGAGGGACCCGTAATGAGGACCCCTAGGTATATACCCTTAATATAGCTATTATGTACCCAGTATATAGCCCATTATAGGGTAGGGGTCCCCATTAAGGGTCCCTCCTTTTCCGCTTTGATCTGCGGGAGTCCCACGAATGAATTGCTTGGTTCTGGGTCTTGCCTGCACCACTTCCACAGACCCAGAGGCTCATACCCTACCCCTTCTTTAAGGTACCTAATTTTCTATTTAACAGATCCTAACCATAAAACTATCCTAAAAAAGGGGTAGGGTATGACCCTCTAGGAAGATGGCCATGGCGAGAAGATCGGGGAAGTCGAGGCTGAACGGCTGCACCCTGCGATTTTGCCGTGCTTGAGCAGGGTTTAGGGTTTTAGGGCTTAGGGTTCAGGGGGTGTTGTAAGGCTTCTGTAGGGTTGGTTTCGGGTCTCCGGTTTACTGCGGTTTTCTACAGTTTTAGGGTTTAGAGGGGTTTGTGAAGGTTGGCCGAAGACCTACGATAACTTTATGAGTCAATTTATGAGTTGAGATGGCTTATACTAAGGGCTGACTAAGCTTCTCTACCTACAGAACCCCTGGATTGGGGACACATCTGGACCAAGCATTATCCCTAAACTAAACCCTAAGGAACCTACCTCTTTAGGGCTCCCTAATATGATTTCTTTATATAAGTCTTCAGAAAGGAAGCTTACTTGGGGTTTAGGTAAACCCTAACCCCTCAGCCCAAAGCCCAAACTAGCCGAGGCCGAAGCCCTAAACCCTAAACCCCAGGCCCTTAGCCCTAAACACTTTTGGCAGACAGGCGGCATCTTCATGGAAGCTCACCACACTCGCCGGCGGCGACGCTGCCTTTCTAACGAGTCTTGCTCCGCAGCTTCCCAGACCTTCCAAAATCCCTTAATTAAGGAATGTACCGAAATTTGATATTAGGGATCCTATTATACAGTTTAAGGTATACTCCTTAGTTAAGGGATTTTGGAAGGTCTGGGTTTCGATTATGCTACGGACGGATCAAGTGACTTAGAAAGCAGGTTGGGTTAAATCAAACACTGCTTAGTTTATAAACCCCGCTACAATATCCCATGAGACTCTAAGTCGGGGACTAAGCCCTGAAGACACCTTACGAAGACCTTCTTACAGAACACGTCTTAAAACCCGTCATGAAGCATTACAGTGTAGGAGTTAGAGGGGCTATTGCGGGATTTAGGTCAGCGGTTTAGCTTAAGTATTTAGCTGAAGAAAACGCGAGGACTCAAACACCAAGCATCAGACAACCCTGGGCCAGGCGGCTAAAACCTGACCCCGAAACCCCTAAAACATAAACCCGGGAACCCTGATACGTAAATCCCAAGAGCTCTGAAACTCGATCACCCTAAACCCGAAACCCAACAGCAAGCCCTAAACTAAACCCAAGAGTAGCCTAGGAATAAAAAGGGTGCCCTTTTTGGATTAAAGGGGCTTATAAGGGAACCTGATCCCCCAAAAAAGGGAATAAGGGCCTACTCTAGATCCATGTAAATCATAATCTTTAAAAGCCATCCTCAACCTGAATCCTTGGCCTGTCAACTCCAACCCGGTTTAGGGTTTAGGCCCAAACCTTCCAAAATCCCTTGATTAAGGAATATACCTTAATTCATCTTAGGGATCCTATTATAATTTAAGGTATATTCCTTTATTAAGGGATTTTGGAAGGTTTGGGGGGTTTGACTCCAACCCTCAACTCTACAGCCCTATGCCGTAAGCCTACTCTACTTCCAAAAACCTACCTTCACAGGAGCTTTCAAAAAGAAATCATAATCAGAAAGCTCACCAAGGTAGGTTTTATAGGGTTCAGGAAAACCATAAAACCCTAAACCCTGCAGATATCCATATGCCGTCATCCTCGAGGGGGGGGGGGGTAGTTCTCTAAATTAGGGTCCCTGTTAGGGTCCTTGGTGCACCCTTCTTTTGGGTTCCCAGTACTTGGAGGCCCTTTTGACTTAGTAAGGTTAGGGTTCCTTTAAAGGGGTCCTAAAAGGGATCTACAGGGGTTCCTTAAAGGGATCTATAGGGTTTAGGGTTTAGGGCTGGGCTTACTTGGAGGCCCTTTTGACTTAGTAAGTAGGGTTAGTAAGGTGGGTTATGGGGATTATAATGGGGTTTCTAGGGGATACTAAGTAGACTTACTAAGTCAAAAGGGCCTCCAAGTAAGGGACCCTGACTAAACAGAGAACCACCCACATTGCTTCGCCTGCTTCGCCACATCGCTGTGGAGCTTGCTAACGTGGTGGGACGACCTGGTAGGTCTAAGGATTTACACGGGTTCTACGGTTTAGCCTTAGGGGTCTAGTTCAAGGTTGAAGGTTCTTTTTTGATGGGGCGCTCCTCTTTCTTGCAGATACTCTAAACCCTAAACCCCTGAACCCCTAAACCGTAAACACCCAAACCCCTAAACCCTGAACCCTAAACCCCTAAACCCTAAACCCCAAACCCTAAAACCCCTAAACCCTAACTTTAAGCCGAGGTTGGCCCTGAAAACCTTCTGAAACATGTTCCGTAACCAGGATCTTCTCTTAAGCCCAACAAGAGAAAACGTGAAATGGCACCGAGGCCGAACTGCACCCCCAAGAAACCTATTTGTTTGAGGCTTCTAAGCCGTTAAGAAGGTAGGTTTCATGGGGTTATTAAGGTACTTTGGAAACGGAAAATCGCCAGGGTAGTAGATGAGCCCATAGTAGACGACGAGGGTCTCTACAATGCAGCCCTACTTGGAGGGTCAGGGGAGTTAGTAAGTAGACTTATAAGTACCCTAAAAGGGACCCTAATTGGGGCTATGGTACTTATAAGTCCCTCAAATGACCAGTTACTAAGTCCCCCGACTCTCCAAGTGACTACATACAACCACATACCGAAACTCTAAAGCCCAAACACTGGGCTATACCCTAAACTCTAGGACCCTAAACCTAACCCCAAATCTTGAAAGAAGCCTTGCATGACTCGTCTAAGGAGCCCTTTAATCAAAGGGTCCCAAGCATAAGATGAAGTAGGAAGGGTAATCCGAACATAAGCAGGAACCTTAATCTTACCTACCTTCATCCCACCTTGTGATTAATTAAGGAATATACCTTAAATTATAATAGGATCCCTAATATGAATTACGCTACACTCCTTAATTAAGGGATTTTGGAAGGTCTGGGTAAGGCAAACCGAAAGCCGAAAGCAGGCGACACCCGGAAGTCGGGGCCGCGACGCCAGGATCTCAGCCGCACGTCCTTCGAAAAACAAGGCTTGGTTTAGGTTTACAGTTTAGGGTTTACGGTTTAGGGTTAGGTTTAGGGGGGTTAGGCGTTTCGAGTTTAGGCTTGCGGTTTAAGGGTTTACGGTTTAGGGTTAAGTTTAGGGGTTTAGCGTTTAGAGTTTAGGGGTTTGGGGGTTCAGGGGTTTAGGGTCTAAGTTTTACGGTTTAGGGGTTGGCCCTCCGAAGCCTTTGCGAAATTACTCGTGCCAATAAGTGAAAACTCAAACAACAACTGAACCTCAAAGGTACCTAGGGCTCAAGGCTTAGAGTCTAGAGGTTCAGGGTTTAGGGTTTAGGGCTTGGGGTTTAGGGTTTGGGTTTTAGCTTGACTGATATTGAGGTTTCCGGGGCTTCCTGGGGTCTACCCCTGGCCCCAACATCTGCCACATAATATAAGGTTTCACAGGGTGCTGAGGATTTTATAAGGGTTTACAACTGTTTAAGGCCACTGCAGCAGGGGCTTTTGACTAACTGTTGGTATGATCATGTAGACACTAGACGCGGCTATTATTACCAATCTCTGGACCCTTCTACAAGTATTACCGGGAAACCCACATCCAAGATCCTAATCCACTCGAACAGAACCGATTTCCGAACACTGCCAATCCTCATGGAATGTGTAACTAGGATGCCCAGTAACCTAGGAATAAAAAGGCCTCTCTTTTTGGTAGTGGGTAAACTTATAAGGAACCTGGGACAAAAAAAGGGAATAAGGGTACTACTGGGCATCCGAGTTGAGACTCGGACAGAGCAGACGAAGCCCGGGCACTCTAAAAGCAAGACTGTCATCTTTGCTTAGAAGGTGGTTGTTTCTCTATGTCGTCACCGACACTTTTGAGCAAGATCCACTGCGGATACACATCTAAGGTTTAATATATAGGTCGAAGAAACTCAGGTGTACAGCGTTTCGGCAACTTTGGCCTTGTGAGATGCAGTATACTTATAGCTGATTTTGAAGGTTGGATTGTGTGACTTGTTCAGGAAAGAGGTGCTCTAGAAGATTGTTTCGTGTGGCCGTCACGGTATCAAAGTGCTCAAAGGAAGGCTGCTTGGTGGGGTTTGCACAGCCTACGGGTGTTTTAGCGAAAGCTGTTTCGTGTCGCTTTTTTAGTATATGTTTGCCCGTCAAGGCTGTCACGGGTCATGCATAAGTTTGTGGTCGAACTCGACGTGGAAGCGTCGTTCAGCAACCAAGGAAAGCTTCGCACTGTGTTTTTTGTACGCAGAGACTGAACTCACGGTTGTGAGCGCCCCAAAATTTACAATCCGGAATATCCCAGTCGCACTTCGGCGGCTCATGATCCGGCTCCAGCTGCATGCGGACCTGTACCAGCAGACACACTGTCGGCAACGCATTCCAAGGAATACGTTTAGACGGACCTCACGAGCATCTGGATCGAGAACTTCCTGGAGGCCGTCAAGGACTTAGCATCGCATGTTAGCTCGGAAGAAGATGCAGCGATGTGTCTGAATTCCGGCCTCTTTTGCTTCTTCGTCCTCGCTGTTGATGCTCACGCTCGTATCTACATCGCTCCGGGTCTCCTGTGCCATCGAGTACGTGAAGGGGATGGGGCATGCAGTATTGATAAAAGCACCTCTGTGTCTGACGCCATATGAATACACTGTAAGCCACGCTCTTCGGCACATTGCTGACCTTCAAGCAACATGCACTAACCGGGTTCTTGCAGGGACCTTCACATACATCTGGAGCAAATTGATTGGCAGGTGAGTGGCCTGGTAATCCGCCTGTATCTCCCCGGCAATCGCAAAAACCATGAGCAACCTGGGCAGGCACATGTCCCTGTACACCGCAACGATGCAAAACAGCAACAGAAGGTACAGAGTTCCCTGCCACATTCTGGGGAAGGTCGTCATGCAGTACCTGGCCGACCAGGAGGTAGATGGCGGGCTCATATCCGACATGCTCGCAACAATATAGTCATGCACTCTGACAGGAAGGAGCAGCAGAGTCCCTGTTTTCCTCAATGGTCCAGCCAGCGGTTTGCTGTCTGCTCGACTCTCCAAAACATATGGTGGCCACTCTGTGGAGCACCTGGGTGGTGAGGAGCCATCGGCTTGCTGGGCCAAAATCGCAGCCTGTTCCCTGTTCAGGAGACCCTGGGGCACATGTGCAAGCCCTTCGCCATTAGAGCCCTCACAGCCCTCAGTGCCGCTAGTCAGCTCACCCCGTGCGTCTGCGCCTGTCAGGCTGACGTAAGGCAGGGGAGTTTTTAGCAGAGAGTCCCTGTCATAGGTACACCCTGGATACCATTTGCAATGCTGAGGCTGAGCAAGCGAATGGGGCCCTGGCTTGCGATCCGCTTTTGGCTTCGGTGCCGCCATAGTGCTGGGGTTGCCATACGATGCTCCGTTCGAGCTGCCACGCCACTGGGCGGTCTCAATCGCCGTATCCACAGCTGTGGCCGATGCTGGTTTTGAGCTCGAGGCTTCGGTCTCACTGTGGCCTTCGCCACCCTCTGCTTCATCATCTTCTGCTTGGGCATCATCATCAGTCGCCAGAAGGGTGTTCGGATGGAAGGCCTGGGCCGGAGTCAGGAAGTCGATGTTTACCCGCACCGATCGAAGCTCACCATACGTCCATGGCAGATGTGTCAGTACCTGATTGAGCGGTATGCCAGCCTCTGCAAAGGTCTGGATGATCGCCCCAGAAATGCGATGCGACATCGACCTGAGATCTGTCACCGGTCTCGGCGGTGGAGGGCCCGCCGGGAGCGGGGTCCCTCCAGGCGTTGTAGGAGCCGGAGTGGGCGGCCCATCTTCCCCGGAGGAGAAGTCATCCAGGCTTGCCAGGCTGGACGGCATGGTGCACACAAGACAGCCACACCCCCTCGAAGACAGTTGAGCCCCGTGTGTCGAGCTGCGAGTATGCATGGTGTCACATCTAGGTGCAGGGGTCTGGGTCTCATCACTGACTCTCACATGCCGGTGACCATGAACATGATGGGGGCACATGTTGGTAGAAGGTCGGCTTGTCGGGTAGAACGCCTGCACCTGCATAGTGATGAACATGCCACCACAGTAGACAATGCAGGGTTGGGTGCTTGCCAAATTATAGAAGCCCCTTACAGGTGGGTAGTTCGTCTTCCATAGTACTCCCATAAGACCCCCTTTACCTTATAGGAGTGGTATGGGAGGCTTATGGGAAACTACCCACCTAATAAGTACCCACCTGTAAATGGCTTAGAAATTATAGTAGCAAAATCACAGCAACGGCAGACAGACCCGGGCCAGTGCAATCTAAACTGAAACTTCAAGTCTACGACTCGAAAAACAAAACCTAGTATAAGGGCGGGGGCCCATTATGCTATAATAATAAATAGTGAACCCCAAAATGGTATCAGTAATTATTCAGGCCCCTGCATTAAACAACAAAACACCCTACTGGCGATCCTCCTCCGACAGCTCGTGCAGCCGCCTTAGCAAACCAATCATTGGTTTCGGGCTTAGAATTTGGAGTTCAGGGTTTGGGGGTTTACGGTGTGGGGTTTGGGGTTTAGGGCTTGGGGTTCAGGGTTTGGGGTTTAGGGTGTGGGGCTTGGGGTGTGGAGTTTTGAGGTTCAGGGTTTGGGGTTCAGGGTTTGGCTTGGGGTTCAGGGTTTAGGGTTTGGGTACCTGTATGGGGAGTGCCTTCATTTTTCCAACCCAGCATAATACTTCCTACTATGGAAACCTTACTTTCTACTAGGCAGTACAACCTCCAACCCCTAAACCCCTAAACCCCTAAACCCGGAAACCCCCCATAGATCGTTTAAAGAACCTCCTAAGGATCCCTTTAAGGAACCCTTTCTGAAAGGGACGGGCCTTTCCCAAACCCTAAAGCCCTAAACCCGAAACCTTAAAGCCTTGAAATAATTATGGGGATATCCCGTATCCCATATAAACCCCCTTATAATGAAGCCCAATAAGGCGACCATATACCTAAAAGCCCTAAACCCCCAACCCTAAACCCCCAACCCCAAACCCCTAAACCCCCAACCCCAAACCCCTAAACCCCCAACCCCAAAACCCTAAACCCTAAAGAGAGCCCCCGCTGGGCACCGTGCGGCCTCCTCTGCCACGGCGAGCGCCGCCGCAGCCAGGGCGGCCTTCGCGAGACAGAGTCTGAGCTTAGGGTTTTGGGTTTAGGGGTCTCTTTAGGGTTTAGGGTTTAGAGTTTAAGGTTTAGTGGTCTTTAGGGTTTAGGGTTTAGGGTTTTAGGTTATAGAGTTTAGTGTTTAAGGGTCTAGGGTTTAGGGGTTTCGGGTTTAGGGTCTAGGGTTCATTGATATAAGGGGTTAGGGTTTCGGTTAGGGTCAGGGTTAATGTTAGGGTTAGGGCTCCATATATACAAAACAGGGCTTAGCGTTTCAGTACCATTTGCATGCGCTGGAACAAGAGGTTAACCCTACCCGAGCATCGTGCCCTAGCCTGCTGGGATATCAGACGTTTGGTAAATAATTCACCATTCAGCAGAGGACTCCTTAAACCCTAAACCCCCTGAACTCTAAACCCGAAGCCCAAAAGGAGTCCCTTGGAGACTTCAGTTTAAACATGTCTCCACCCCGAGGTCGCTCAGCCCACCGGGGGGAACTTGGCTTTAGCTTCTAGGGTTTAGGGTTTAAGGAGTTTAGGGTTTAGGGTTTAGGGTCTCTAAAAGTTCAGGGTTGAGGGTTTATCTGGTAAAGCGAATCCTGCAAACAAAAATTGGGCTCCGGGTGCGGAAGACGATGACCGCCTCCCAGCCCCGTAAACCCTGAACCTGAATCGAAAGGCCCAGACCTTCCAAAATCCTTTAATTAAGGAATATACCTTAATTCATAATAGGATCCCTAATATAATTTAAGGTATATTCCTTAATTAAGGGATTTTGGAAGGTCTGGGGGTCTCTGTCGGCCTCCTCCAGCGCTTGGCCCCTGCTTCTGCCCTTAAAGGCCTCACTGCGCACGAAGGGCCAACAAAGCAGGATCGTTTGGGTTTACTTGGAGGCCCTTTTGACTTAGTAAGGTAGGGTTAGTAAGGTGGGTTATGGGGATTATAATGGGGTTTCTAGGGGATACTAAGTAGACTTACTAAGTCAACAGGGCCTCCAAGTAGGGTTCAGGGTTTAGGAGGTTCAGGGCTTAGGAGTTTAAGGGTTTGGGGCTGAGGGTTCAGGGTTTAATTTAGGGGTTTAGGGCCTAGGAGTTTAAGGCTTGGGGTTTAGGGTTTTTGAGTTTGGGTTGGTTGGTGGTTTGGCTTGGTTGGCTCAGGGCTCCGAATTTTAAGCATTCAGGGCTTCGGTGCGCATATATATATATATATATATATATATATATATATATATGTATGTATGTATGTATGTATGTACACACATATATATATATATATATCTAGAAACACATGTGTATGAATATATATATATATATACACATATGTATGTACTTATATATACGTTGCCTTATTACGGTTAATTACGGTAGAGCTCTATACAAATGAACTCTCTCTCTATATATTTGCATGCAATTATCTATATGCAGGCTTATACGTACAGACAGACAGACAGACAGACAGACAGACATGGACATATATACACAACTGTGTAAATGCATACACATATACAACGTATACACACGCACATATTTAAGCACACATGTATGTATGTGTGTATGTACGCATGTATGTATTTATGTATGTGTATGTACAAACATATATACATGTGTACCTACACGTATATGAATATTCTTAAGGAGCGAGATAAACATATAATTATACATGTGTATATATAACTTTTCAGATATACACACATACAGAGAGGTGTTATGCGTGTACCAAGGTACATATATATATATATATATATATATATATACACACACATGTGTATGTATATGTATATGTACATGCATGTGTATATATATATATATATACATAGACAGATACGCACACAGACATACATGTAGTAAAGGTTACCTACCCAGGCCCCCAAGTTCAACACTGAGCAGGTATTGGCACAAATCGATTCACATAGATTTCAGGTTCCGAGCGCTTCGTGGCAAAATCGGGTCCATAGTCGCTCTCATCGTTTGGGTTCATCACTTCTATTTACTTAAACCCTCCTTCGGGGGCTCATCACTTCCATTTATTTAAATCATAGAGTTTGGGGTGAGCTCCAGGGTTTCAGGGTTTCGGGCTCAAGGCGCAGGACTTCTGAAGTGTTTAGGGTCTCTCCAAGGGTTTAGGGTTTAGGGTTTAAGGACCTTGTCCTTTGTGAACCCTGAATCTTTTCTCCAAACGGGGTCGGCTTCACCTTATGGGGACCTTCTCCTTGTGCCGGAGCCACCGCAATGTTGAGCCAGCAGACTGTCTCCAAGCAGCAGCTAGCTCACAGTTTCGGGTTGAGCATGATGTATAATCCCACCCCTACGTCTTAAAACCGAAACCCCACAGCCAACCTTCGTGCCTCAACCCTACACCGTAAGCCCCAAAGCGACCAAAACCTAAAGTAAAACAACCTCACCTACCCTAAACCCCAAACCCTAAACCCCTAAACCCTAAACCCCTAAGATTGAACTCCGGCCTGGTTTCTATGAAGTAGGAAGCTAGGCACCCAAACTTAGCCCGGAGCATGACCCTTCATGCACTACAGTTTACATTAGCGTATTCGTAAAGCTTGCTTTTAGGCCTGAGTGTTAGGCTTTACGGATCAAGGTTTGGGGTTGTGGTAAAACCTATAATACTCAAGATAACCTCTCAGCCAGAAAACGAAAAATCACAACCCAAGCGCAGTTCACAGCATACTTAAACCTCAACTCCAGAACACAAAACCCAAACTCAAAAACCCCAAACTCGGACCCTAAACAACCCTAACCCCTAAACCTTTAAACAACGCCTAAAACCCCAAAGCCCGAACTCCCCAGTCTCCAGACCTTGCAGCTGCTTCCCGCCCTTAGGACCACCTATAGTAGAAGCCAGAAAGTTGGAACATCTTTATCCTCATTCCCTTACGGGAAGTAGAGGGAACCCTAGCACTAATCATCCTAAATCCATGTTCCAACTTTCTGGGGACCACCTATAACCTGGGAACAATTGGTTCAGGATTTAGGGTTTACCGTAGACGAAGCCCTAAAGTTGGAAACCCAATAGCCTCAATCCTTAACAGTAATGTATAGGGAATCCCAGCTCTATTTGGCCTTAATCCGGTTTCCAAGTTTATGGGGTTTACTGTAGGGGTTTAGGCTTGTCTAGGTGCAACAGTCCTCAAAAATTGGAAGAACATCTGGGCTCTATAGCGCACACTATCCCAAATCGATACCTAGCTTTTAGCATGGGGTAGTTCTATAAGGAACCTGAGATCACGAAAAGGAAAAATAGGGCCCACTGCTTGGAGGCCCTTTTGACTTAGTAAGTAGGGTTAGTAAGGTGGGTTATGGGGATTATAATGGGGTTTCTAGGGGATACTAAGTAGACTTACTAAGTCAAAAGGGCCTCCAAGTGGGAGACCTAGACCTAGCCTAAGTTCTGCTTCAACGGTCACGGAACCCAGGAAGTAGAAGCTCAACGAGGTCTTAACTTGAAGTACAATACTTGGAGGCCCTTTTGACTTAGTAAGTCTACTTAGTATCCCCTAGAAACCCCATTATAATCCCCATAACCCACCTTACTAACCCTACTTACTAAGTCAAAAGGGCCTCCAAGTATCAACGAGGTTTTAAGTTGTCAACGAGGCTTTAAGTTGAAGTAGGGTAACCCCAAATATGCAGGATATTTCTGATGAAGTACGTAGAGTAACCCCAGAAATGTAGGGTATTGGAAACACCCCAATCATCACGTACTTGGCCCTCTGATCC